CACTCACTCACTCACGCACACACACACTTCACTAGTTTCTATGGAAACAACAGATTAATGTTCTTCAGAACTCAATCTTGTTTTAAACTTTTATTTTGAAAAATAATAAAATAAAGCTGTACAGCTTCAGTATGTTTTATTGTTCATTGTTGGGGGGCGGGTTCCATGTAAACAGAGTTACAGTAAAAACATGACTGTATGTTCTGTGTTACACTGACAATGAATAAACAAACACTGGTTGAATGAAGTCACTGTTATTATTTATTATTATTTATTTATTTACATTTTCTGGAAGGACAAGTTCATTTCATTATCATGGTATGCTAACAGACTGAGGCTAAAGCTAACAGACTGAAGACGTTCTCGTTCTATTTCATGACTCTCAGTTTGTCATGTCTCGGCTGCAGGGGGTCAGAGGTCGTGGAGCTGGTGAGGTCTCTTTGAAGGACACAGCAGGATCTCTGAGCTGTGACCTTTGACCTCCATCAAACATCAGAATCAATATGTCGCTGCCTGTTCAGCTTTTCCTCCATTCAGAGGTTTTATGGTGGAAAAGGTCTCAGAGGGTCAGAGGAAGAATCCAGGTCACACTCAGCTGTCAGCTGTTAGCTGTTAGCTGCTAGCTAGATATGTATAAGTTCAGGTAGTTCGAGCAGTTTGTTGTTGCAGCTTCGGTCTCGGAGTAGATTTCTGACAAACTGTATCTTCGTCATCGTTGAACATCTTGTTGCTCATCAGGCTGATGAATTAATGTTCTAGCAGACTGTGTTTGGGTCCCGTCAGCAGCAGAGGGTCAGCACTCAGATGTCGGAGCTTCCTGGGATGACCTGAAAGCACCACAGCCTGAATCACTCAAACTGAGACACCGAAGGTGAGTTTGAGATCCCCCGAACAACCCAGAATTATTGGAAGTGATGAAGGTGGTATTTCAGTTAGGTAATCAGGATACAGAAAAGGTCAATTTAATCCATTACAGTTACAGAAAAAACATGTAATCAGATTACAGATTACAAATTGTATTTTATTTTTATTAAAAACACAAATTCTAAATATCAAGTTACTTTAATATGGTGATACTTGGATCAGGTCACTGACTACATTTCCTAACAGGTAATTAGTAAGTGTAATCTGATTACATTACTCTATATACAGTATTATATATTATATACGGACTAAACATAAAGACCAGACTGCTGCTCTGTAACACCACAGCGTGAGACAGGTCACACAGACAGACAGACAGACAGACAGACAGGGTTTACTGTCTGACCTCCTGTACAGGACTCCAGAGACTGTGAGGTGGTGATGAAGAGGAGGGAGAACTTCAGTATAAACAGAATGTGAGCTGTGATGAGTTCACTGACGTCTGTGTTTAAAGATGTTGAACGTGGCTTAAATCACTTTATTTATTTATTTATTTAAACTGATCTCCATTAGCTGAATGCCAGAGGCAGCAGGTCGTCCTCCTGCAGCCTGAATCATTCTTCATATATTCATCAGACACACAATGTTCACACAACATTCACACAATGTTCACACAACATTCACACAATGTTCACACAATGTTCACATTGTTAACCTTCACAACCGTCACAACGTTCACAACGTTCACATCGCTCTCATGTGCAGCTCTTTCATTGGAGAGACCTCAGCAACTGATTTTTATGAACTATACAAAAACAAAGCAACATATTTTCCACTCTTTCAGAAGAAGAAGAAATACTCTGTAGTTCTGATATAACTGATGCTATGCTAACCTCTTTAGCACTTCTCACAGAGCTGGTGCTAAACCTCGACTGTAGCTGCCAGCAGTTCCTCGAAGGACGCCGACTAGTCCGAACCACCGTGGTGGTGCGGTTGAAACGTGGTAAAATGGATCCGTGCATGTAGCCATGTTGGAAAGACTGATCAGTGATAAACATAAACATAAACATATAATTTCCACAGAAATGTTGACGTTTTGGAGATCATTTCCTGTCAATACGCGTGTAGCGTTAGCATCACTGATTATTCATAAGTTGTTGAGATCGGTGAGATCAGGGTCGACATCCTGTCTGTAAAACCTGGTCCTGGTCTCTGTAAACCGTCTGACCTCAGCTGTGTCTCATCCTCAGAGAGATGAGTTCATCTGTTTGAGCCTCGGCCTACGTGCTCTCTCTCTGTGGCGGGCAGGGCTGAATACTTTCCATCTATATTCATTTGTATGCTGATGACACCCACGTATATCTTACAATGAACTTTACCAGAATAAATAAAATCCGGTTGGATTATCTTCCCCACGAAGAGCTGATGATTACAAGCAGAAACTCAACCTCACACACCAGAGACGTCTGTGACCATCTGGATATTAAAAGATGATTTATTTATATCTTGTGTCCATCTGTTCAATTTAAATTCTGACTTTATTTCATCTTCACATTAGAAGTTTGATATTTCGCCAATTTCAGAAAAAAGTACTAACATTCACGTTAAAAGGCAGTTTTTCCTT